AAAACTAAAATGTTTTACATTGTTAACCGAAAGAAAACTAAAATTCTGTGCTTGAACGACTCATGTTTGCATGGTCTATTGCAAAATGGGAAAAGTATGTTTGACAAGCCGCTTGTGTGGTGTATTTCGCTCTTTAGCTTTTGTACGCAATGTACAAACGTGAACATGGCGGCCTGAAAATCGAAAGATTTTGATTTTGTTCAAATTTCCCTCAAACGGCTTGTCAAACCTCCAAACACCCCCTTACACAACACAAATGGCTTGAAGCAAAGGCATATTTGGTTTGTCAAGCCGTTTGTGTTGTGTATTGCGCTCTTTACGCACTCCGAACGTTCGGACTCAATAACGAAAAACAGCACAATAAATAATTGTATTACTGTGGCAACACTCCATAGCAAATTCGTTTTGACATTTGTCAGCCTGATGTAATGCGTATAAACTTGTCTTGTTTGTCAGCTTGTTGTAATTTTACGTTTACGTATTTTGCTTCTTGTGCGTTTATTGTGAAATGTTTTACTAAGTGAATAAACGATTCAACGTAATAAATAGAAGATTGCAGTGAAATTATAGTTTTGTTTGTTTATCCGGATAGCTCCAACAGTGCTGCAATTTATACCAGAAGTTAAGGTCGCGTTGGAGGCCAGAGACCGTGTGTACACACATTTAAATGAAATATATATACATGTATGTATGTATGTATGTACTGTCTTAAGATTGACCTCCGCACATCGTTGATCAGCAGAGGGATCAAAAAAATTTAACAGTCTAAAGGAGTAAAATTCTTGGGAAAATTTTAGTTTGGCATCCCCGGGGTACCAAAGTAAGGAGGTTATGGGGGATGGAGGGGGAATGTAGGGGGAGTTCTGATTGTAAATATATAGTTTTTTTTAATTTATTGGAGACACAGCTCATTAAGAAATACATATCGCTGATTTACTAAACGACTGGCATAGCCCAAAAAACGTGCAAAATTGAGCAAGTTGTACAGAATTATTTTTTTATTCATGTTCATATCTTGTTTATTTTCATGCTTAAAGCTTATGTAGTTTTCCCGGAAGAAGACAATATGCATTTCATTTTTTCTATGGCTTAAGAGCAACTTAAATGCGTATTCTAAAAAAAAAACCTTTTTTGAGTTATAAAAGTCTTTCCGTAAATGTGCGATATGTTCATTTGTATGTATTTGCACATATCACGAATATATTGAAGTGGTAAATAGCGAACATTTGGTTTTATCGCATCTATCTTGAGGCGGAACAATTGCTTTGTTTTCAAAAATAGACACATCAATTTTTACTGCTTTGAAAGATTTACAAGAAATTCTCCTGTGCTTTGCCTATTCCTCTGTTAACTTGCACTTGTGTGCGCACAGAACTAAATACAAATACAACAACCGCAATTGCTACTGCACAAAGAAACAAAGAATTGCATGTTTTTCGGCTTGAGCAGTTGGGCAATACTTGAAATATTTTCAGAAGGTAAAGATTTACTCAGACGCAACAATGTAGTTTTCGTTGTAGTAATTCATTTATTTTGAAATATTCATTCCATACCATACCATACCAACAAAAACTAAAAAAAAAATAATTTCAAAATAATTAAATACATTAAACTCTTTTTTTTTAGATTGAAATAGCTTCGTCAATATGAATAAATCAGCCGACGACGCTTCACAAAAGGCCACGTCAACTCAACATACGGACGACGAGTCAATAACTACCAGTACCGAATCGGATTCATTAGAAACATGGACACTAGTAAACGACAAAAATAAAAAAAAGAACCCAGGTACAACCGATGTCGAAGAATCTACAAGCAATAGATTAGAAATATTAAGTAACCTTGAGGACTATGTAGCAAATGACAGCAAAGGGATACATGAAAGTGCTGAGTTCGTAACCGTATTTTTGCATCATTTTCTTTAACTGATCAATTTATGTTGCAGATCTCGAACAGATGAAGACTCCAATAACGATGACATTTCCGAAGGCATCTCAATTATTAGCGAGAGCGAGAGTGCTGGGCGGGCTTCACCTTATGCAATTGCTGAAAATTTGAATAGCGCAGACTTAAAAAGCTACCCAAATCCCGACGATGTTTCCCCTGCTTCAATGCTCAGATTGCCCATTCACTTACCACAATCGTCATACTCAGTATGCTCAAGTGTCCACACTTTTGACGAAACCACACTTAGGCAACGACGTATCAGGCGTTCCAGTTCCAGTACAAATTCAGAGCGAAAAGCTGTAACGCCAAAAGATGCCAGCATTTTAGATGCAAATCCAGTGTATCCTTTAGTTCGTCGGAGTTTGAAAGGTCTTTTTTTTATTTGCGTTGTACTTGCAATATTGGCGTTCATTGGCAAACTGCGCAATCCAGATTGGCAACCATTTTTCGATACCAAAAATTTACCTGCATTGGAGCAAAGGTTGACAGATTTAGAATTGCAAAATAATTTAATGCGGGCAGAAATTGACATTTTGTCCAAGCAGTTGAACTTTTTAAGTAGCTTGAGTGAGAGTGGTCGCTTTCACAAGGTCGAAGGGGGATCTAGGCGTCAACAGCGACTTTTTAAACAGACTGGAGAATGGATAATGAAACAAAAGGGAACCAATTCTAAAGAGCTGCCCATTAATAAAGATAGCGCAGATAACTCGCAGATCATCAAGGAGTTAAGAAAACCAATTAAATGTCCAAATGGAAAACTAGCAGAAAATGAAGGCATGTGTGTCGAAAATTCAGAACCAGAAATAAAAAATATGGACAATATTTTCAATGTCGATTATATGCAGTCGCTAAAGAATGCACCGCTTGACGAATCCACAACTAATCCGTATGTTAATGAGCCAACAAAGAATGCTAATAATGCTGGCCCAAAAGCAGGCGAAACTGAGTTTAAAAATATGAACAAATATATTAACACCGAAAGAAAAAACTCGAAGGAGTATGATCCCCATAACTTCGAGAAAAGACAGTGGAAAAGGCAGAAATATATACATCCGGAGAATGACGATGACTTTAGTGAGGAAGATGAGGATGATTCTGCGGAAAATTTTGGCAATAAAAAATTTTCTTCCAAAGAGAGTTATAACAAACACGACCGTAATAAGGAACGTCGCTATAGTGGCAATACGAAGGATATACTCTCCGATGAGTCCGACGAGCAGTCGCGTAAGAGCGGTGAATGGCATGGTAAATTAATGCAGCAACGAGAGAACGCGCGGCGCCAAAATGAGTATAGACAGCGTAATAAAAACTGGTATATCGAACGGGGTAATAGCCGTGAGAAAATTCGTCACAGGAGGTGAGGAATTACTCGTGTATTCTGCATATAAACCAACCATGTACCACTGTACCATTTACTGCTTCAAATATTATCGATATTTTAATCAATTTAAATTTGTTTTAGTTGGTTATGTATTCTTGTTTACAGCAATCAAAAGTAATGTGGTCTATAAATTATTTTGTGATAAATTGTATTATGTACTACTTTATTTTTAAATTGTAAGTGTATCCTTCAAATGTTTTGTTTTTAACCTAGACTACGAATATATTAAGAATGTAATGTACAGAAATTATACCTACATACTGTGTGTATATATGTACATGCATATACATAATTATATATGTACATATATTTAATCATACAGACACAACATAGTTTAAAATGTTTCCCCAATCTAATGTAAACGATTTAAATATGTTATTACTGCAAACTATTTCATTTTAAAAATAAACTATTCAAAAAATAAATAAAAATATCTCATTCTAAAGCCAAAGTTTGCAAAGCTGGTTCCGTTGTTTACTATAAAATCAAAGGCACCAATCTTTGCACAATTGTTGAAGAAGTTGCTATGAGTTCCCTTGTTATGTCACATGTAAGTATAAACAACAACGTTTATTAGCCAGGAAAAAATTTGATTCAGAATTATTCAATAATTTAATTGTAAAATATCCAAGTTAAGAATTAAATCAAGGTCCTTGCCCATCTTAATAGCTTTTAAGTTCTAATTGAACTCTTTCGTTGTGCATACAAATTTAGTATATTAGTTTTTAAAATTTTGGTAATCGCTGCTCTTTCTACAATCATTCCATATGCTATTTTTTTACTTTGATAAAAGTTACGTAAAGAAAATTGGAAATATAAATTTGGATTTGGATTTACATTACACAATAGCTTTTCTTATTTAATGTGGTAAATAGTTGAATTATTTTTATTTAAATAAATTATACGATCTGTTTGTATTATTTTTTATTTAGGTACTACATATTTAAATTTTGTACATCTATTTATGTACGCACAAATGTGCTACAAGATCTTTAACAGTGTTTTCCGCAAAGTACCAAATGATTCCTTACTGTAGAAATTTTTATTAGAACGTATGTATTTTATATGAAACAATTCAATACAACTCCACCACATTGGATTTACATACTTTATGGTCAACAATTAATTCGGGTTCAGAATCATGTGTATGTCGGTGAGACATTAATGATGAGCGTCGCTTAAAACGTTTATTACAGATTTCACACTGGAATGGACGCTCGCCACTGTGTACTAGTGAATGCCTCTTCATTTGTTCAGAGGTTGGGAAGCCGCGTTTGCAATGGGGACATTCGTATGGACGCTCGCCCGAGTGGCACCGCTTGTGTGCAATCAGATTGCTCGAATATCGAAATTCACGCCCACATACATCGCACGCATGTGGTTTCTCACCGGTGTGGACCAACATGTGTTTTTTGTACCCGGATTTCTGTGTCATGGACTTCCCGCAGATATCACACTGGAACGGTCGTTCACCGGTATGCGACAGCATGTGTGTTCGTAAGGAGGATGACTGACGGTAAGATTTACCGCACAGATCACATGTATTGGGATTGTTTGGATCATGAATGACTATGTGTCCTTCGTATGCATTACGGGTCTTAAAACCTTCACCGCACAGACTGCACAAATAAGGTGTTGCGTCAGAATGCAACTGCATATGATACTTAAATGAGTTTTGATTACTCAGTTGTTTCCCGCATACCTAAAAAAAAATCATATATATTATAAACCAAAAATTATTTTAAATATTTTATATCGCACCTTGCATTGCAGATCGGGGTTTGGTGGTTTTGGTTGATTGTTCTTTTTTCGTATTTTCGGTGGTGGTTTAACTTTTACATCACCACTACTATCCCAAAAACTTTCCTGGTCATCTGCTTTTCTTGATCTTTTAAAATTTTCATTTATTTGTTCACATTCAGTGGTCTCTGACATAGAGCAGTCGGCTTGTGCAATATCTTCTATTTTTACCTCATATATCTCCTCATATCCTTTGTCTCTACCGTCATCCTCACTGTCTGTTTGATATTGATAAACTTCTTCGGATTCCGCAACTTCGTGCACCACTACTTCTTCGCCCTCACAGTTCTGCTCTTCATCTAAGTTAGTTTGTGATTGAACTTCTGAAATCGTTGCCTCCTCACCGTCCATGAAACCCTCTAGAACTGTATAAGCAACGTATTCCATATTTTCCACAGAACTTTTGAATTGTGCAGCCGTAGCCAATTCATGCAATTGATCGCCATCAATTACTTCGGTCTCCTCGTCAGCTTCGTGTTGTTGCATTTCCACAACAGAGTCCGCAGATTCGGTTTCAATGGTTTCAATAACACTGCCTCCACCGGTGTCGGCCATGCCAACCTCACAATCAAGTTCAGTGTACTGCCTCCGCAGCACTTCATCAGCCTCCAATACCATTTTCTTGAACGCGTATGATTTGGCCAGATTTCGTACACATCGCGTACAGATATGTGAAGGAAAGCTTTCAGCCTCATAATTCGGGAACTCCAAATTAGTGATGAAACTCAACATGGACGCCAACGTCCGCACTTCGCCCATAAATATGCCCTGCTTGTGCAACGATTTGTACTCCACGCACTCGCCTATGCATGCGCGACACACCACAACTTCGACTTCGTTAGCCTCAGAAACCATATTTAAGTTCGATAGTCCAATAGTCCTCCAGACAGAAATACAAATTGATGTAAACTGTAAACAAATGAAGAAAAAAAATTTATAAAATACCACAAACGCGTTTACTACAAGACGTTTGGGGTGCGTTCAGTGCAGTTCCCCCTACCGAGGCGATTTTTTATGAAATCGCATTGCCAGCACGGTATGTTTGACGATAATTCGAATTAAATAGTTTGCAACAATACGGCAAACTTCGGCTAAGCTTGAAGTCGAAAAATAAATCGATAAATAAATAAATAAACTATATATTTTACATAACGTGTTTTATTTAATTTTTATAATTAATCATCTGACCAACTGAAGCAACACAATCTCGACACGATATCACGCAGACGATTGTCGTCATACGTGATTCATGCCCTGTCATTTTGATCTCTGAATTTCCTCTACTTTGCAAGTTTTTTGGACACATGAACACCAAAGCTATCCATTTTTTAGAGTGTTCTGAATTATAGATAAATTTTACAGAATTCGTAAAGATCTCATCCGATTTTTTGCCGAATTTTCTTAAATGAAATAATTTATGCACACTTCGATTCTTTTATGAAATTTCGAAAGAAAATCGGTAAAGAAATCAAAATAATTATGCTATATGAAAAATTTCTTGCAGATTTCCGTCAGAATTTTCTGCGAGATTACGATAATCGGGGCGACTTTTATGGTTCGGGGCCTTCTAGTTTTCAAGATATTTAGTGTTGAAACTAATTCTTCAGATTTTGTTTATATTATATATGTATTATATCTTATGAACTACACAACCGAGTAAAAAAATAATGTGTGAAAATAAAGATAATTAATTTGTCTTTCAGTTCATGTATCTAATTTATATTATTTTTCATATCTTAAGGACCAGAATATTAAAAAACTAAAAAAAATCATAATTTTTTTCATAAAATGACCCTTTTTGAAGAGATTACGTGATTAATGCTAAAGAAATGTACTACTACTTAGAAAGTGCAAGTTATTACCTTTAATCTGGTATACATATTTTATTATGATCTGATTTTGAGGATTAAGAATTCAGTGATAATATAAAATTTAAATGAATTTACAAGCAAGTGACAATCTTACATTTACTGTAGTTTAATCACATAAGGCGCCCTCTTCTCCGGCAATGCAGAAAGGAGAATTCTACTTAGTGAGGGTTATAATCCCTAAGTGCGCCAGAAGGCCGCCTACGCAGAAAAGTGTTCTCTGCAAAAGGTGTTCAGCCCCTTTCCTTTCGCAACACAGAAAGGAGAATTCTACTTAGTGAGAGCAAAGAACGTAAATCTATAAGAGGAGACAATACGTTATAATTGTAGCGAGTGTGAACATCAGGGGCGTGCCTTCTCTTTCCATCCAACCACAAAACGTATTTGGGCAAAAGATAAAGCACGCTCCTGATGTTTTTGGACGTTATCTCATTTCCTCTCGTTTTATTCTTGTTTGCTCTTTCACGTTTTTGTCCTTTCTCTCACTCTACGTCTTCTGCATCCAACTTCAACACGTAACGCCCTGTTAAAAAACGAAAATTCCATTTGCTCGGCGTTAGCGCCGCACAATTAGGAAAAACATTAACCGAAGATTTTAGTTGATGATACGAGAAACAAGCTACGACACTAATGACGGGTGGTTAAAAGCGTATTGTCTTTATAATTCTCTGGACGCCGAACATTATTTTGTAACGCAAGGTAAGTAGTTTATTAAACATCAATTGTTCAGAACGGTTTCAATATCCATATTTACCCAAAGCTATCAGGGGGATAACAACCCCTCCATTTTGTTGTAGCAGCCTTAAGTTGAAATCTAAAATTTTATACATTTTTTAGAGCAAACCGTAGAACCATATGCTTTGAGAAAAATCGACTGTCGAATTTTACGGATCGAATCGAACTCTAAAATCGACAAACAATCTAGTTGTTATGACTCGATTAATCGATCTTCGATTTAAAAACGGCAGTTCTACTTGACAGCTGTCGGAAAATTCCAATACCGGTGCACGAGATTTAAGGTTTCCATTTATGTTTTTGGCCGGTGTGATGAAATAATAAGTGCGTCCAATACGTATTTTATCAATAAAAAAGGGGTCAGCAGGTGGCGAGCATGGCAATGGCGCAAAGTGGAGTACTTGGAATAATGCGCAAGCTAGGATCCGGCACAAAAGCGGCGCTCCAGTTTGCTGGGGTACACAATCGCCGGACGTTGAGTAATCACCTTTGGGGCGCAAGTCATAACATTTCCGATAGAATTACAGTGTTTAGGCAAAAGTCGGCTTGTCAGCTATGTGAACGTTCCTATTCTACAGAGAGCACAAGTTAGTTATCATAATTACAGAATGAACTTGTTTAATTTGAGCGATTTAGAAAAGGCAGCAAGCCCGGAAATTCTGTCGAAGTTGTTCCCCCAAACTGCACTTAATGTTGATGAGGAAACTGAACGTGAACGAAAACGCAAGGATGAGGAAGAGGCAAAGGAAAATGAAAAAGCTTGGAAGCGTATGAAAATCGGGTAAGTGACAAACATGTACTTGCATAACATATCGCCAAATATTCAAATGCTGTAATAACCTGAAGATAATAATATTGTGAATTTTCATCTTGTAATAACCTAGATAATAATATTGTCAGTGTCTATACACACGCACCACGGTATCTTTTACCATAGATCTTCGGTAAAAATTCTCGTATATCCATGGTAAAAATTACGGTAAAATTACCGTGGATATACGATGATTTTCGAAGTGCGCGAATAGCCTTTTTAACAGTGGATCCACGAAGAAAATTACCGTGGATCCGAGGTTATCTATACCCAGGCGACGATATGTACATGTCACATAACCTCGTCCTGTTTTGGAGTCGTTTTAAAAAAAAATATACTAACTTTTACCGCAGATCTACATCAAATCACCGTGAATCCACGGTAATTTTTTGCCGTGGATTTATGGCAAATAGACACTTAGAAATTATCGTGGATCCATCGCAAGTTTTCACGGTAAATTTTTACCGTGGATATACGGTAATTTTTACCGCAGATTTACGGTAAAAGTTACCGTGGCGCGTATAAATAGACACTCCCAATAATATTTGTTTTTGTAGATTTGGAGTTTTTGGTGGAAGCGGTATAGCGCTTGTGGTGTGGGCGGTGTATGAATTCGGAAAGCCGGAGGTAGACGCCGAGGGACAGGTTATTGAAGATGAATTTAGCAAAAGTCCTGCGGTTCAACAATACATACAGCGGATGTGGAAGTCTTTGAACTACTATCAAAAAATGATACAAGAACCGTCTCGCGATAAACTCTTGCCAGACCCATTAAAACCTCCCTACGTACAGCCGCCATATACGTTAGTACTGGAAATGAAAGATGTCCTGGTACATCCAGATTGGACATATCAAACTGGTTGGCGGTTTAAGAAACGACCTGGTGTTGACCAATTTCTACAGGAATGCGCTAAGAATTTTGAAATTGTGGTTTTTACAGCCGAACAAGGAATGACTGTATTTCCCATATTAGATGCTCTTGATCCCAATGGATGTATTATGTATCGTCTAGTTCGGGATGCAACGCATTTTGTAGATGGGCATCATGTCAAAAATTTAGACAACTTGAACCGAGATTTAAAAAAGGTATTCCAAGCATAATAATGCGTGTATTATGAAATAATGGAGTTAAATTTTATTTTTAACTTGTAGGTCATTGTTGTGGACTGGGATCAAAATGCAACCAAAATGCATCCTGATAATACATTCAACATTGCGAGATGGTTAGGCAATGATGACGATACTCAATTGTTGGATTTAATTTCATTTTTAAAAAGTAATCAGAATTTTTAACAAATATTTGATTTGTATTGTTACAAGCTCGGCTTTTTTGTTTGCAGCCCTGGTAGCTGCCGAAGTCGAGGACGTCCGTGACGTATTACACTACTATCAACAGTTTGAGGACCCTATAGCTCAGTTTAGAGAAAACCAACGGCTTTTGTTAGAGCAAATGCAGGAAAAGGAGCGCGAGGAACAAACTAAGCAAAAACCAATTGTGAAGAAATGGACCCCGAGTTTTCTAGGACGTTCGTCGTAAACTACATGATCATACCGTAATACCAGCCCTTCCACTTGCTTTGTAGTACATGCTCATTTGCTAAGTTTTTATTAATTAAAATGAAAAGTTTTCTTCACACAATTATTTTGTTGTTGTTGTTGTTGTAGCGGCTACTAATCCCCGCTCAGGTCGGTTCATCCGTCAACGTTGTCGTCCGTTTCAGCTAAGGGGAGGCCCAGGGAGTGTGCGACTTCAACAGGGTCTGCCCATAGGGACGGGAGTATCAGCTGGGTGGGGTTCGCAGGGCATGTGAAGAGGTCAAGTCGTGCGAATCATGTGGCGACTCTCCACATGCCGGGCATTGGTTGGGCACATCCTCACTAATTCTGCTCAGGTATGAGTTTAGCCTGCTACAATAACCAGAGCGAAGTTGAGCTATTGTGGTGCGGGTCTCCCGAGGCAGACAACGTTCTGTCCCGTCCACGTCCGGCATTCACAGGGCGGGAGACTACATAACTCGAGACTGATTCCCTGTGAATGCCGTTCAGGGTCTGTTGGTAGGCTGACGGGTCCAGAGGTTCTTTAATTAACCTCTGGACTTCGTCCGTCAGTTCTTGCCTTGGCGAGGGCTCTTCTGCAAGCAGCTGTTTGCTAGGGTGACCACGTCTGTGGCTCCCCACAAGGAACTGCTTGCAGAGCATTGCATTATGCTCCTTGACTGGGAGCATCGGGGCCTCGTCGTGTAGGTGGTGTTGGGGCGTCATCAGGAAGCGTCCGGTCGTGTTCAGGCATTTCTGTAGCTTCATCCACTGCGTCCTGCTAGTCCCAGGCGGCCACATAGTTTAGAACCTGCCGGCCAATTGCCTTGTATGTTGCCAACAACGTTTCGTTATCTTTGCCCCAAGTGCTGCCGGCCAGCGACTCGAGGACATTGTTGCGGCTTTGTACTTTGCTGACAATTGCGGTTGTAGGTGGTGAATAGGGTTGCCGAGGATTTCGCAGGAGATAGGGCAAGGTTCCTTGCAGTGAAGAAGCGAGAAAGTTCGGCGAGATAACAGTTTACTTTTGAGCACAAGTCATCAATTCCATTCCCAGACGCCATGATCGAACAATCGTCAGCATAAGAGACATTATTGATACCCTCTGGTGGTTGAGGAAGCTTTGAGATGTTATAATTAAACATTAGTGGGGACAGGACACCACCGTGTGGTGCCCCTGTTTAATTTTACGTGGCTTGCTGGTTTTGTCTCTGAAAATAACTGACGAGTGTCGACCACTCAGGTAATTCGCTGACCACCGTTTGTGTCCCTGTGGGAGTGAGGAGGCCTATATATCTTCTAGTAGCGTTGAATGACTAACAGTGTCGAACGCCTTGGACAGGTCCAACGCTACTAGAAAAGTTTCCTCGCAGGGGCGGTTTCGGTTAAGGCCACGAGTTATCTGGGGGTTTGTGGTGTTAAGTGCTGTTGTGGTGCTATGCACTTCCCGGAACCCATGTTGGTGCTTCGCTGGGGTCAAGTGGATCGTGCAATACGGGAGTAGCAAGGCCTCTAGTGTCTTCGCTACCGGGGAAAGGGGAATTATCGGGCGATAAGACTCTCCTTTGTTGGCTGGTTTCCCCAGTTTGAGCAGTGGGACCACTCTCCCCATATTCCAGATGTCTGGAATGACGAGAGTGGCCATAGACAAGTTGAGGATCTCCGTTAGGTACGCTACTCCCACAGGACCCAAATTTTTCAGCTTCATATTCCGTTGGGTCCAATAGCTTTGAAGGCTTTCGCCTTCCCGATAGCTACCCTTATCTCACCGCTGGTGAAAGCAAGAGGCGCACTGGGTTTTGGCATTTTGTGCAGCCTTCTGGTCACTCGACGTTTAGCTTTAACCACCGGAGGATGCAGAATAAACTGTCGTCACGCTTCGTTGGGTTGGACACCGACCTCACGGTTGACCAAAGCTTACTCACACCAGAGGCGAAGTTGCAGGTCTTCAAATGCTCTTCCCATTTCTTCCGATTATGTACGTTCACAAGTTGCCGAATCTCCGAATTGAGATCCCTGATACGGGGATTTCCGGGATTGGCCTGACGAAGGTTGTGACGCTCATCGGCTAGAACAGCCGCTTCAGCAGGAAAGTTCGGACGTGGATCCTTAATGCATCCTGCTGGGATGAAGCGAGCTGCAACAGCAGTGACAACCCTGCGGAATTTACATTCACCTACGAGAACCTCGGTTGGTTCACTGCACTGAAGGCGCTTTCAGTAACATCCGAGAAGCCTTTCCAGTCAGCTTTGGAAAAGTTGACATAGGTCCGGTGATCCGCGGAAACAAAGTCTGCAGGTTTATCAATCGAGATGACTATGGACAGATGGTCTAATGCTAAGGTCAGCATAGGCCGCCATGATACGCTGTTTATCAGCGCTGGCAATTCTTAGATCTGGCGAACGGCAGCAGCTGCGCAAAATCCTGGTGGGTGCGTCGTCGTTCATTGTGCAGCATGTCGAATCGTCTATCTGCTCAGCCAGATGTATTCCCCTACGATCATTTGACAGGCTTGAGTGCCAAAGATTGTGGTGAGCGTTAAAGTCGCCAGCTACCATACGGTTTTCACCTCTGAGTAGCGCACCTATTTCAGGGTGATATCCTGCCGGGCAGCAGGTGACGGGGTATGTATAGGTTAAATATTTCGATCTCAAGGTTGAATTGCCGTTCAACTTCGTCTCTTGGACCGCAGCTATTAACATTCCATGCCTTCCCATGAAGACGTTTATCTCCTCGATCTTGCTCTGGAGTCCGTTACAGTTAAATTGTAGCACCTTTGTGTGCCTTGGGAGACCAATTGTTATGTGTGGAGTTAAGGAGTTGTGTTGCCTGCCGGCTCCCTGCTATATGTGCTGCGAAAGGGGGTGCTGCCTTGTGGTGGTGGTTGGCGGCGTCGCGGGGGAGGTATGCGACTGGGCAACACAGCAGGGGCCCACGTAGTCAGTCTTCCAATCAAGCGTGTTGCGAAGTCGTGAGTATGCCCTAAAGTGGCAACAGCCAAGGCAGGAGTTGCCCTTGACTTATGTCACGTTACGATATATTCTGGACTGACAAACCGAGCAGATTGTCGGAGGGACTAGGAGTTGCCGGCGGCGGTGTGTGGGTGCTATTGTGACACAATTATGTTCCTGTCCTTTGCTTACTGCACTTTACCAAAAACCTTGACGGGGTAGACTTTTGCAGACGGTTTTAGATAACGTACAGGAAGCCGTTCCAGGTGACCACCTTACATAAGGTGTATTAATGGAGAAAACAGCTGTTCCCGCAAATCCTGTAAAACCTGCAAATCGTGAAGCATCTGGAACGCAACTAATATGTACAGCATAAATTTAATTCAATGTTAATTTAAATCGTTTGCTTTCCATATCAATGTCTCTTCGGTGGCTGTTCTTTTGTATTTGTTCTTTGGAACGGTTTGACGAAGCAATTTCTGCTGGAAACACCACTATTCGGATTTTCGAATCTAAAAATAAAATTATAGTTTAAAAACTAAAACCTCGCTATTATAATTTCCATTCGTACTGTCATCAGGTATGTAACTTGAGAATAGAAATCGCTGCATCTTTTAGGCGCATCAATATTACATAGTTACATCCCGAGCTAATAAAAGGGATGTAATAACATTAAAAATTAGTTTGTTCCAGTACTCCAGGACATAGTATGAAATTACAGGAAGTCGTTCCTGTACGCAAGAATTTCTCTTACTGGGAACACTTTTGAGAGAGTCAGAAGTTACAGGATTTTTCTTCCTGCAAGTTCATGAAATGTGTCCAACGATAGGCAGGGTTGTCCGAAGGATCGCTATTTCCTCTACAACTTTTATTAATAAAATTTCAATCGCGCTAAATTCCCCACAAATTGAAATGAAAAACCCCGTCTTTGTGTATTTTCGATAGTTTTCTTTCTGTATGTATTTTTCGGTTTAAAATATGTATGTTAAATAAATTGTCTATGATAATTATTCATCACCTTAAAATATTCAACATACGAATATATCTATGTAGCTTCTTTCTGTGGGAGATTGTTAATGACACCGCAAAAATGTTTTTGGAGCAAATACGTACGTACGCATGCATACGATGCATAAGAAATATTTATATTTATTCATCGAGGATAATTTGATTCTATGTATTTTATTTAATAGAGTATGTATGTATATGAGTTGCATCATAATTTCTGGCTCAACTAAACTAAATACAATACTATGTATATGATTTTACATCTATTTGATGACCTTTAGGTTTGTTTTCTGTGTTCTCTGTGAAAGTTTTCCAAGCATAAGAAAAAAGACGTTTGCGGGAATTCCATGTGAACAAATATTCCTAATGCTGAATACACACGAGGCAACCGTTGCGCCAACTAACATAAAATGTCAAAATTTTTCGAAATTAGGCTACAATCGAAGCATCGTGTGTAGTCATCATCAAAATTACAAAGGGAGACAAAACCAATGTTTCCGGGCTGTCTATTCTTTGTTTGTATTTCCAATTCATGGGAAACATTTACTCACGTGGAATTGGTTATCAGGTTGATTTCTTCTTTATTAATGTTTAGGCAAACTAAATTTTTTATACAAGGAGCTTTCCAGTTTTCTTATTACAAAGAAACAAGCTATTTTCGTACATACATATATCGTCGTTTAAAGTACAAAACCGCGTATCGTGGTTCTTCAAAATCTCGTAATTGACTTTTGTGCCAAAAAATTAAATTTGGTCACCGGAAGCTCCTGGCATCAAGCCCTTATCCATTCATATTAAAATATCGAGACTTAGATGTAAGAAGAAGAGATAATTAGAGATAAAAGAGAGAACAGTTTTATAAAATTAAGGCAACCTCACATACGAGGTTTTGCATTTTCTTGATACGCGGTTTTTTTACTTTAAACGACGATATATGTATGTATGTATGTACATATATTGAATGCGTGGTGACACAGTTGAAGTCGTAAGTTCAACAAAGCCTCGAAAAAAGTGTATGGACTAAAAACATCTTTACAGTAATTATAATTTGATTTCTGAATGTGTGTAAGTGAATATTCCATAACTTTAGTTTATCAAAGGAACCTGTTCGTGTTTTTTTTTAGACTGAAGTATCTGATCGTAGGAAAACTAGTATTCCTGGTATTTTTCTGGCTCTGGAGGACGGTTCGCCTTTACATGTGAACATGGCACAGGTTTATTATCATTGGATTTGGATATTTATCTTTTCAAGTTATTCAACGAGCAGCTCAAATTTTCGTTTAACTGCAGCCATCTCCGATTCTTTCCCTGCTTCAATTATTGTTGTTGTTGTTTTTATTATTTATTTATTTTTTTCAATTTCGTTGTACTTTGCAACATCACCAAACTGTTTTTATGTACTCACAGTGCAATATTTAGTTAAAATAACAAATGTTTCCGTTTCGTCCATACTGATTGCTCAAATTAAATTAACAAATTAATTTTAAAAGAACTTACACTCCACTATTTTTTCTAAAATTATTGAATTGATTTCGGCAACTGTTTTTAAACCGCATCTTTTACACCCGTCGGCGTTGTAAATGTTGACGAGAACTGTAATCAAACTTCTTCGACTATTTTGGACTTTACTACAATCAGGCCGGTTATGGAAAAGGGCTATAAAAAAAGAGAGTGTTAGATGTACGGTTTTACAGATTTTTTGATTTATTTAAAATTATTTTGTACATCTATGCAAATCTTGATCTATTTCCGTGTAACCTCGCCACATTTAACTATTGTTTAATTTATATATTATATCCATTATTAAATATAAACACTAATTATCGTATGTTTCAGTGAAACTAAATTTATAATTTAAACAAACATATTATAAGCATACATACACATTAAAGATTTCACTTCTCTAATAGTAATAAAACGAAATGAAACAACAAAACATCTAGTAATGTGAATACTTTTACATTAAATTAGTAGCGCTACATTTCTTAGAAAGCTTCGGCTTCGGCGTTCGCATCAGTTTCGATTTCCATTTCTGTTTCCTGTTTCCTTTGGGCTTTTATCTTCGACATCAGCTACATCATAATTATTTCATACAACACATCACCGCCATTCAGAACGAAGAGCGCATTCAAAACATTCCTCTTGAAGGACAGATTTCCGTGCTGTGACCGCTTTATTACCCAGGTAGATTCTAATCCGAATCTTCGTCTCGTTCATCGAACCCCGTTAAATCCACAGATTTTAACATGTCACGCGACACTGCATACTCAATAAGCGCCAAGTGGCAAAACACATACTGATCAGGCATTTGTATAGAGTAGGCACGCTGTGAACGAATTTTTTCCACAGTCCCACGAATGTCGGCAGTACCAACATCTTCTAAACGCGATATGCATATATCCAATGTAATAAAAGTACCTGTGAAATTAAATAAATCATAAAGTTTATAGATTCCGCTCTATTTTGCAGTTTTGATTTTACCTGTTCGACCTATACCCGCGCTGCAGTGCACCACAATTGGCGGTCCTCGTGGGTGCCCGGCCCAAGTGTCGCCCAACGCTTTCACCATAGTCGATTGTTTTTCTCGCACCTTTTGAAGAAAATTTAGCATGGCCATCGCAGAACTGGGCACGCCATAATCGGGCCAACTTGTAAATTGCCAATGTGAAACGTTTCTAATTTCGTCAGTCTGAAATCAAAGGAAGAACGTTAAACATATTAAAATATGATCTCAAATGACTGATCAGCTAAAAAAACGTTCAGATTTTCTACATCAATATGTATGTACTGTGTAAGCTAAAATAAATCAGTTTCTGGCTCCTCGTCTTGATCCTCGTTTTAGAGTTTTATTTTTTAACCGACTTCCAAAAAAGGAGGAGGTTATCAGTTCGTCGGAATATTTTTTTTTTTTTATGTATGTTACCGCGTAACTTTGGACCACGTCAACCGATTTCGATAATTCTTTTTGCATCGGAAAGGTAGTGTCTCAGAGGTGGACCCATACTAATCTGGTTAAGATAAGTTATATGAGAGTTGAAGTCGGTTTTTTTTTACTAAAAATTACTTGTTTTTTTTATTTTTTTGTACGGCTGTTTCACATCTCTTACGAAAGTTTAATTGGTTTAACCTTTTATTCTACATCCAAAGCTTCACGAAAAATTGTGACATTTGGGATGTAAAGGGAGTGCAATTCTCCTTCTTTCTTCTTCCTCTTTTTTGCCACCAATCAAATAACTCATATACATATATGTATATATACATAGTTGGTATAAAATAAAACAGAGCGAAAGATACATATCGAACACCGTCTTCAAAAGAGGCGCAACTCAAAATTTGGCACTTTAGAAATTATGCAGTAAAAATGTACGCAAAGCTTTTATTTACCTTTTAGCAAAAGCTGGAGCAAATTCTTGCCATAATTTGTTAAAAAAAAAAACCTCAGCTTAAGTCGCCCTTGATAAAATGATGATAAAGTTTCATTTCCGTGGGGTGACCAAGGCTCTTATACGACTTTCTCTTTTAACTCGGTTTCGTTTGAAAATTCGTACGAATAAATGAATTTGGTTAATAATGTGATTTTTCAGATGAGTGTCTCATTCACAACCAGCCATGTAAAAAGATAATCGCGTGTATTATTTAGTTTTAGTTTTATTTAAGTCATTTACTAAGACTTATTAGGAGAGTAGGAATTTCTATTCACCAAAAATTTCAATATTGATCTATTACTAAGTTGCCTGTGACACCAGCAGTATTTCCTTAATTTGCGCCCTGAAAGAAGAAAGGGTTCCTCCAAAGAGATCAAAGTCCGAGGCATGTCTGTTGGCCTGGATTGCAATTCTGTTTTCAGGTCCATGCAAGAGATAATAGGTGTGTACTCGTATTGAGCGGACAAAATTATCCAGCAGCAAAAATTCTGAAAATTTAGCAGCGTTCGCTCTCAAAGAGACAAAATATCCACAGAAGTACGAGAACGCAAAATATGCAAAAACTTACAACCTTCGAAACAACCGATCACTTCTCTTGCCACAGGTGGTTCATTTGGCAATTTATTTTCTGCTTGGTACATTTTTGCCCGATTTGGCATTTTATACAATCGAATAGTTTTGGATAAGAAAAACCTTTTTAAAATACAAATTAATTACACTTAGGTCTCTATTTATGCGGATTTGAATTTATGCGGTTTTTCAAACCTGGCAAAAATTTTTTCAGCAGAAATTTGCAGCTCTCTTTCACATTTTGCTCTCTCTTTTGGGTACGATAACGCAAAACCAGTAAAAGTTTTCTAAAACTTTAGATAGTTTTGGGTACGAGTACACTCCTAATTTGTATTGAATCTCCACCTACGTATGCCCGGAAAACCCAACGCAACTAACGCCTCTGTCCCTCATCGACTTGCTGTTCCGTGAATGGAGACCAAATGACCGAGCCGTACTCCACAATGGGTCTGGCGAAAGCCGTGAACAGTCGGACATTTCTAGATGCCCTGGCAGATCTGCAGATGAATCCCAATGCATGATAAGAACGCTGAGTTATGCGGCCACTATGTCATCATCTACAATCACACCAAGGTCATCTAAAGAGTTTGTACAAACTGGCCGTTCAGCACGCATCCCACTGGTAAATGGAGTTGAGATCGGGAAAAGGCAATCACAGCACATTTAACGCTATTTAGAGACAGCTTATTTAATACATACCAACTCTCAAGTTCGCATATATCCTGTTGGAGTTCAATAATATCCTTGTCACCGGCTATTTCTCGAAAAATCTTCAGATTATCTGCACAAAGCAAATACTCCGATATCAACCTATTGCCAATGTCGTTTATATAGTTAAAATATTAAACAAGATGGGACAAATGCCCATTCACACGTACTCGGAAACAGTACGAGCACAGCCACCCCCCAATGCTTTATTCGACACACCGTATTAGTTAACTTTGTCAACAGTCTTTCGGCAATATTTGAAAAAAATGCAACTGCCACTATTTTCACACTATGCACACAATCAAAGCCGTCCCTAGCGATATTCCATCATTCTAAACAACCATTCAAATACCATGGATGTTACTTAGAAATGGGCATCCATTTGTCGTTGCTTTCTACTTATTCTCAGTTATTTAAGAAAATAGGAGTGTTCGTTATGCAACTGCCAGTAAGAATTAGCCAGTAACAAAATTCAGAGAATAAGGTACCTTACTCTCCCAAAAAGAGAAACTTACTAAGTTTTGCGCGAACAGGAATTAGCAAACATTTGCAAGCTTCACTGCCAGCTGGCGTCCACGGTTGCATTTCGAGCATAATACATTTTTGAAATATTTCAGGAGCAATTGAAAACAGGACCCATACGTATATTTCTTCTTATTCTGACTTTATTCAACATACGCTTCAATTTCTTTGTGGAAGTCACTGTCGGATTTCCTATATCGACAGCGCTGTCGAGTGCGTTCCGATTACGAATACAACTTTTTCAGTCGGGTATCTTTCAAATGTTTGGAATTAATTAAATTAATTGAATAAACAAATATTTCATACTTCTTTCATTACTAAATCGCAACAAGATTGTTCATTTTTAAATTTAACGAACTTGTTGATTCAAATTAATGCTGACAAAAATGCAACCATGTGCCACAATCCTGCTTGCAAATTCTTACTGGCAAAAACGAATTTGCAACTTCCTCTCCAAATGAAATGTCAAAATTGTGCCCTCTCCTTGCAAGTTTTACTGGGTTTTTGGCTAAACGAACACGATTTGGTAACAATTGGTACCAACTTGTACAAATTTTTTGCATAGCGAACACTCCTAATGTTTCATTTGGAATTTTTGTGTTTTGTTATGGATCTTCTTATACATACTATATTTACGTGTGTACATACATACATACATAGTAGGGTTCTTACCTTAAGGTTTTTCAATTCTAATGATGCTACGGTATAATCTTCATTTATTTCTATATTAAGTGTTCGCACATGGAAGCTCCCAAATTCTAAGGAACTATTCTCAGTCGGTTCCCAGTATTGACCACATTTGACGCGCCCACGCTCCATAACTCGCGTTGTCATCACAATAACCACACAATGTTGCTCCCATATCATACGCCAAAAATCTTGGGATGTTTTTGGTAATGGTCCTGTAAAAAAACAGCATAAAAAACGGGAAACGGAAGGAAAACATTAACATCTACAAAATTAAAAATTGGAATAAATGTTGGAGTTATATTAAATATTAAAAAAAAACACCTAATACACAAAATGCTTTCATCGCATAATGCATATTTTCAATGGCCTCTAATTGCAATTTACCCAAAATGAGTGATCTTTTGTTACGATTTTTGTCGCTTATCTGGATTTTCATAAATCATTCACAGGAAAATTTTCGGGAGACTGGTGGGAAAATGGTGACTTAGTACCGAATTGCACAGATCTTAAAAATAACGATAGCTCTTAACCCATATATATTTAAAAATGAAATGTCTTTCGTATGACCGCTATACCTATCCAAACGGATGAACCGATTTCGTTTATGTAAAAAATAGTTCTTTGGAAACTTGAAGGGTTTTCGATTAAAAAAGATCAACACTTTTTGTTGTTGCTGCCAAAAAATTAATAAAGCTGAGACGTCACAATTTCCTAGAGTTTTCTGAACATTGTTTGTACATGGTTCATATTTGGAACATATGTATGTCAGCACCGAGCAAGAATTTACTGGCTAGTTGGCGCTGGGGTCGGGATATTCTTAAGAACTGCATTTATTTGCCGATTTGGCGTAACATCTGACATACAGACTAAAATGTGAAAACCAACCGAGTAGATAATTTTAGGAGTTAAAAGCCCTTCCGAAAGGCCCTCCTGAGAGTCAAGAGGCCAGGCCTTCCACTCTACATTCCTTTCTCCTTTCGTTTTTGTATGGAGGCTTCTTCTTTCGCTACCCATGGAAGGCCTTCCAGAAGGGCTTTTATAGGACGTACTTCAGAAGGCCGTTGGGAGGAGTTCTTTGAAAGTTGCTTCTTTAATTTATAACAAGTAATTTTTAGCAAAGAAAACAGACTTCAATTCTCATATAAAAAAAAAAAAATACATATATACTATATATACTAGATCGCCCTCACCCGCTTCGCTGAGTGTATGAAATTTCTACGTGCTACATTGAGTAAAATTTATTTCAAGAAAACTCAATTAAAAAACAGGAGGTTTAAGATTTTTTTAACCATCTTCAAAATATTTTCAAACAAAAACTTTCTTAAACTTCTCACTTGTCATACTTTTTCAATTAACTTATCCCCTGAACACAATTTGAGATTTTAAACAGATGGAAACCTCTTACATGTAGTTTTGAAATGAATTCCATTAAAAATCATTTCGATTGATACCCATATTGTAATAATTCATTTAAATTATTGAATAGTTTGAATTTAACCTTTTACACAGTTGGCAACCTTTTTAAACCTATAATAATAATCTATAATCTATAATGTATATTTTGAAAGACGTTTTTTATGTGTTCGCAAAGCTCGAGAACGGCCGAACCGATGGTTATAGGCTGAAATTAATTTCGATATACAGAGGGGGCGTGGCACCTCCTATACAAACCGATTTTTTATTACTGTATATCTCTGAAAGTGTTCACGTTAGAATAACGGAACTTGGTACAGCAATATATGAAATCAATCTTATAGTCATGGAGAAAAATGGTGAGTGAAATCCTCCGAAATGCCCGGGCCGATTTTAACGAAGTTTGTTTTGTACTTTTGAGTGTAGTTTCACAATTTCACCCGCATGTTATTTGCCAGTATTATATGGCGTCTAGGAGCCAGGGCTGAGTTGTGCAGGGGTAAATCTCAAATCACCACTGATAAATCAACCGCCAGAACCATTGCGCGCCTTTTACTGTAATATTTAATTTGGAATGATTGAATTTAATTTTAAAAAGGTGGCACGGGAAAACCCTTGCGAAAGACTCAAATATTATTCAAAACTTGTCAACTAAAGGTTTCTTAACAATATTTCGTTAGACAGCCATATTTTAATTCTTGAGATAGCTTGTATGCTTCGATACATATAGCTTTTCCAAAGCGTTTTCTGAATTTCAGCTTTTCGTTTTGCAAATACGGTTTTATTTCTCATGGATCTTATTTGCGATTGTTTGATAAGCTACCCCAAGAACACCTTACAGACAGTTTCATAAAAATTGAATACATTTTTTAAAAGTCATCCGCCATTTTTATATTCCAAATCTGCCTTCAGATTCGTAGATAATCAGCTACCCCATAAAATCCCCTATAGAAAGTTTCATAAAAATTAATATTTTTTTAAGTCATCAGCGTCATATTGGATACGCCATTTTGAATTTTCAAAATCTCACTTCAGATTCGTAATCAGCGAGCCCAAAAATGTATCAGGCAGGCGAAAGCCTCCAAAGCCATTGGGCCAGACGGAATTAAGGTTGATGCAGAAAAAATTAGATCAATCGGGAGTAGATTACCTAACCAAGGTTTTCAACCTGTCTATGAACACTCTTATTATTCCCGACGTGTGTAAATGAGGGAGAGCGGACCCACTGCCTAAGCCTGGGAAGCCCTTGTTACTCCCACGGTTCACTTACTACCTGACCCCAGCAAAGCATCAGATGGCTTCAGTAAGTGCTCAAAAGAATTCTATAGGCTGCTTTATTTCTCCGCGCAAACACCCGCAATTGCCAATAAAGTACATAGCCGCAACAAAGTCCTCAAATCGCCCGCCGGCAGTTCTTCGGGCAAATACAAAGAAACGTTGTTGGCAACGCACAACGCAATTGACCGGCCGGTTCTAAACTAAGGCATTTCTACGAACTGAAGGACGTTGTCCAGGACTACGTACGTCTAGACCCGGCACTGTATAGATAGGCAATAAACGGCATTCGGAGACTGTCACCACCTTCACTAACTTCTGCCTGTGAATGCAGTCATCGGAGTAGAATCGCCGCCAATTGCAGAAGAGCTTTAATTGCCGATAAACCCAACCCAACCCAACCCAACTCAACTAACACGCATCTCTCACTGATCCGACCCCGTCGCAACAGAACCATCCGATTCTAGGCGGGGCTAAGTAGCCGCTACAATAATAACAACAACAATAGTCAATGAGAATCTAAAATGTAATGGGCTAAAATAGTCTTTATGGACCTATTAAAACACAAGTATCTGATCTTAAACGCAATACTTAGTTTTACCCGCTTACCTTGCGTAGAAATGTATGCATTCTTTTGTTTATATCCATCGACGAAATTGGCGTTTATATAGTCCTCACCGTCGTCCCTGGATAGCACCACCCGACTATGATCGTAACATAGTACATCTGTGTAACGATTTTTAGTCAAGTTATTTCGCATTCTGCAACGGATACAAAATTATGTTTTTATTAACTTGTTAGCATTATGTTTCTTGATAAATGCTCAACGCATACCTTGCATGTACGAAAGTCCCTTCGGGCGCTCGATTCCGTATATCTGCATACTCCTTTACCAAGCCTTTTCGGCCTTGCTCCTTCACCATTTGAACAATTTGTTCAATTGTTTTTGGGTCTCCTTCCTGTCCAGCCAGGCTGTCGTCATCACTAAACCCAGACGAAGCACTACTTGGCGGGTTCTCCGACCACGACTCACTTAAGCCGGATGAGCCGTTTGAACTGCCGTTGCTGGTGACTGCGGACGAAACGATTGCACCATTCACTAAAGCCGCGTTTCCTTGGGTTCCACTTGCGTCTAATGAATTCAGCACAGGAACGCCAACTGTTGGCCCCGTCGCCGCTGCTGTCGCCAGTGACTCTGCGTCGATTTGTTTGCAAGCGGGCAACGGTGACGTCGAATTACAGTTACTCTGCTTCAATGTAATGTTCTCGTTAGGTTCTTCGCCAACCAGCAACCGTCGGCTGTAATCGTCGTTCGTTAACGTGGCTACCGTCGTATTTATGTTGCTATTGACGTGGGTGTTGTTGCTATTTTCAGCACTAATCGATACTGAATTGTTCACAATGTTGCTGATATTAGTTGTGTTGATGCTGTTGCTTCGATTGAAAGCCGCTTGCTCAATGTTGGCGAGCAGTTCGTCTTCACGATTCGTCATCGATTTGCGGCACTGTAGCAACCATGTGGCGTGATCGATTTCCAATGCTCCGCCAAGATGCAGGGGCAACGCTTTCAGTGGCACGTGAAGGCGCAACGTCGGCACAGACACTGTGAAGACACGTTCACGCAATTTCTCTCGCACAAACAGCCGCAAAATCTTGAACGGAGCCTTGAACCATAAAGGCGCCGTCACAATTAATACTTTCTTCAAACGCGCCGGATAGCCACCCTGCAACGAAAAATATTTGAATGAGCGCATATTCAATTGTGGTATGATTTTAATTTGTGTCATAATGTCATAACGTTAGATATGTATGTAGTACATATGGTCACGTGACATGCAAAAATACATAACAAACACCGTTACTGAAATGGAAAAAGTCGTGCCTAATATTTAGTTTTTTTTTTTTTTTGTAATTCAATGAAATCCATCATATCTATCAAAAAGTCAATGTTAAATTTTTTATAAGTTTCGACTTTTTGCATTTCAGTGGCGATGTTTGCTACCTCTATTTGCATTTCACTGATATTGGTAGTACGTGATTTTTAAAAAATCCGGAACATAGTAAATCGGCAAAAAATAGCTTTAAATTACATTGGAAAGCGAAACCTCGGAAGCTGACAAATTCTACTTAAAAACAATTCAGCACATGCATGCACATACATACATACATATATATAGTCGTTTAAAGTACAATACCGCGTATAAAAAATTGAAAAACCTCGTATGTGAGGTTGCCTTAATTTTCTAGGAAAGAGTAAAAATCTTATTATTTCAAAACGGTTATCTCTTTTGCTCCTAATTATTTCTTCTTCTTACATCTAAGTCTCGATAAGGAAGGGCATGATACCAGCACCTTCCGGTGAACAAATATCTTTTTTGACTCAAAAGTCAGTTACGCGGTTTTGTACTTTAAACGACGATATGTATGTATGTATGCAAACTGTGTACCTGATTATTTCAAAAACATTTTCACAAAAGATATTCACATCTCGCCATAGAATTGATGTTATTTAAGCTTTAGTAATTGCACATGCATACATACGTACATACATATATGTATGTATACATATTTACATTGTATGTGCATACGCAAATGCAAATATACATACCTACCAGGGATGTTGCGAATATTTGCAATCGCATTCGTTATGCAAATGATTCGCATTATTTTACAGATTCGCATTCGGCATTCGTAATCGCATCAAACGATACGAATGTTTAGCGAATGCTGTTGAAATGACTCTAAGTCTGCCTAACCAGGGTGCGGACAATAACCGGCTTTTAGCTTCAGGCGCTAAACGGTTAAGTAGTATATCAAGCAAATTGATGGGCCTTCAACAAGTACTGCTAAAAGTATTATAAGCAACCTAGAAATAATTTTAGATTTCTCCAGCGAAAGCGAAGACGCGGATGTAGAATCTGGAGGCATTAAAAAATGTGAAATTAAAGCTCAATTGAAGGCCTATCCTAAAGAAAAACGAGCTTATATCGGTGAAAATCCTCTCGATTGGTGGAAAACTAAACTAAAATACGACAAATTTATAGATCTGGCCCGCAAATATTTGAGCGCTCCACCACCCGCCATTGTTTAGTGCAGCCGGACTTGTATACGAGCCTTTAAGAAATCGCCTCATGGGAGAAAAGGCAGCAAAATTACTTCTTTTTTTTTTTAAATATACCTAATAAAATATATTCCTAATATTCGCATTCGCATTCGCAAATTTGAAAAATATGACATTCGAAATATCACTAATACCTAAATATCGTCGGTGATACTGCAAAACGATCTATGTCTATTAGTACCCTTGAAAGTTATATGGTCTCTTACTTGCACCGGAATGCATCTGCAAATCGTTACACCCTAATAAACGGATGACCAAACTGTTCACATTTGGCTGATGAAGATGAACGATTGCCAGAAGCGATAATTACAATTTTTTGGTTCACAAGGACGAATAGGTATTAAAAATGTCCTTTTAGTTAGTTTTATATTTTAAATGAATAACGTTAGAAGGACGTAATTCGAGGATATGGTCGAGTGCCTTTTAGTCCTTAACATATAATTTTTTCGAAAATAATTATTGTAAAATTTCAAGGATATTCAATGATAAAATGTAGAAAGGACATTTTCAATACCTAATCGTCCTTATGCACCAACAAATTTAATCGGCCTTAATTTTACAGAATTTTTTGTCCTTAACTTGATAGTCATACTGTTTTTCTACATTGCACTAATTTTGTATATACATAGTTTTCTGAATTATGTTTTTCAAATTTCAAAGTCCTTCAAAAAAAATCCTGACATTACATAGAAAAACTTAAAACGCAGCAACATCGTAATTACAACAAACTGAATTTATTAATAATTAAAGGACTGTTGATGCAATAAAAAATTAATAAATGGAATAAAACTCTCTCTTCTCTGACAAATTTAGTTTACATTTTCTACACATTTTGTATCATAATTTAGTGCACGTTTTTTCATTTAGTATGATTATTTCCAATCATCTTAAAACTGCATATTTCTGCCTTTCTTCGACTTACATTGCCCGTTGGCATATACGTTTTTCAATCAAGACAAACTCCGCAGCACAAGCGCTGATTACTGGGCCTTCTATATGGATGGATCAATGCTTCGAGAAGCAAACAAAATCTACTAAGAAAGAAAGTCGCACTACTGTTTTTTTCAAAATTTAATTTTTAGTTTTTACTCAAAATCAGAACAGTTTTTGACAATTTAGGTAAGACAAGCAACAACAAAATACACATAAATGTTGTTTTTGCTTTAATACCTGTTTGATATGCCTTGGTACTACCTTTTAAGTTGAAATTTCTTTAACTGTTTAATTATTTGTTCAAAAATATTGTTCCCAGCATACCACAGTGAAGTTCGATAATAGACCGATAAGGGGGGTTTTACGGTTTTTTGAAATGTTCTTAATTTTTTTTTATAATTAATAAGAGTAAAGTGTTTTCATCATTTCTATTTATTGAGAAACCGCTAAATCAAAAAATTATTTACATATTATTCAGTAAAAAAAAAAAAACAAATAAAAACGGAAAAATCCTGAAGTAAATCAAACAAATTTTTTTTATCTTGTTTAAAGTACGTTTAGGTTTGGAACTACTTGGCGCCCGCTTTATGGAATTCTTTGCAAGATCCAGCATATTTTTTTTTTAAATATATCTGAAAAGTTCTAAAGTTTGACAAACGTAATTTTGTATGCATTATTGTTTACCTGTAAATGCATTTGAAACTGACATAACAAGATAACAAAAAACACTTTGACTCCCTTCTCACTCCATATTCAAGGTGTTGCTGTGGGCTTCCTTTTTT